TTGGGGGCGTCCTTGGACGTCTGGGGTCTCCTGGGGCCTCTTGAGGGGCCTCCTGGGGGCCTCCTGGCGGCCTCTTGGGGCGGAAGGCTCGAGCTTGCGGTTCGTGGTCCCCCTCTGGGCCCCCTCTTGGGCCCGTCTTGGGGCCCTCTTGGGCCATCTTGGGCGCCTCTTGGGCCGTCTTGGGGCCCTCTTGGGCTGTCCTGGGGCCCTCTGGGAAGCTTCTTGGGCGGTCTTGGGGCGGTCTTGGGCGCCTCTTGGGCCGTCCTGTAACGTCGGAAAGCCCAAAAGGCGACTTTGTTGAACATGTGCGTTTTACGAAGGGAATGGGCCAATTCTTGCGTCTAGGGGCCCTCTTGGGACGCATGCTTTCTTGGGGCGGGGGCGTCTTGGGTCTGGGGTCCTCCTCTTGAGGGGCCTCCTTGGGGCCTCCTTGTCGAACTCTTGTCGGGCCAAAGCCCAAAAGGCAACTTTGTGAAAAATGTACGTTTTACGAAAGGAATGGGCAATTTTTTGCGTCTAGGGGCCCTCTTGGGACGCATGTTGAAGGCTTCTTGGGACGTCTTGGGGGGCGTCCTTGGACGTCTGGAGGCCATCTTCAGCATCTCGGAGCCCTCTTGGAGGCCTCTTGGAAGTTTTTTGGGCCGTCTTGGGCGTTTCTGGGGCCGTCTTGTCTGACTGGGGAGGCCTCCGGCAAGCCCCGACGAGCCTCCGGGGCCCCCGGGGTGCACATTTGTGGTCGAGGTCCCGGCCCCAGGCCCCCGGACCCGGTGCGCCGTGATATGTATATATATATATATATATATATATATATATATATATATACGAGGAAAACTGCGTGAAAGAGAGATCGCGCAAGCATCGGACGTTTCACGCCGTGCCCGGGCACCGAGGGCAGCGTGCGGGACGCCCGCGCACGCGACGCCCGAGCAACCACACAGCGCGCCCGCCGCCGCCGCCGCCGAGCACACGCGCACGGCGCGAGCGGCCCACGGAGGGCCCGCGGGCGCCCCTGCCGCTGCCCCGGACCCCCTCCGCACACGAACCCCGCGGGACAGGACAGGACAGGACAGGAGCGGCGTGCGCGGAGGCGCGCCCTGTGCGGGCTGCCGCAAGCCTTCTCGCACTCTCGCACGCGCACTCTCACAGGCTCGCACAGCACCTCGGTTTCGGCATTCTTCTCGTATTCTCACACTCTCACATTCTAGTCAGTCCATCGTTTTAACGGCCTGTCCATGCATGCCTTCCCCCCACGGGGCCCCGTGGGGGGAAGGCAAGAACGGCCACGGGCACGAGAGGAGAGGGCGCGGGACAGGGAGAATGGGGAGAGGGGGCACGGTCGGTCGGAGTAGGCCAGGGGGAGGGGGGGGGGGGGGGGCGAGGGGGGAGGCCAAAGGGAGAGGGCATGGGCCCTGGAGGGCAGGGAGAGGCAGGGAGACACGGGGGCAGGGAGAGGAGGGGGGAGGGACGGAGGGCCGAATTGGGAGGGGGGGCGCGGTCGGTCGGAACAAGCCAGGAGGGGGGGGGGGGCACGGGACGGGCCCCCCTCCCACAAGCTGGAGGTTGCAAGGCCGGAGATGGGCACCGACAATAAAACACCAGGGGCTGCCTCCACGGGAGGAAGACGGTCCTGGACTGTGTCGGGAGACTCTTCATGGGGGGGGATCCCATGGGGGGATAGGATCCCAGGGGGGGGATCCCATAGGATCCCCTGGGGACCCCATGGGGGGGCAGGAGGGGATCCCATGGGGGGGATCCCCTCCTGCCCCCCCCATGGGATCCCCCCCATGGAGAGTCTCCCGACTGTGGTGCTGGTGGTAATCTCTCGGCCACCTAGAGAAGCCCGAATGTTACCAACATCGCCGAGAGCGGGAGCATCTTCCCTCGGTGGAAGCACACCGCCGATTTTGGTGTTGGTGTCAACCTCTAGGCCTGCGAGGATGCGGTCGGGGGGGTCTGAGCTGATAAGCCCAAGAGGGAATTCGGTCAACAACTCGGACCCCGCCCAGTGTCGAGACCGACTCGTTTCTCGAGCCGCGTGCAGCCGCGGCGACGAGGGAACCCGTTCTCACCCGGTCCTGCTGGCAAGAACCGGTGCTGAGACTCCACCCTTCTCCCTGAGCCTTCAGTAGGAGCTCGACCGCAAAAGCCTGCCACAAGGAACCCAACACTGAGACCCGAGGACGTCCATTGATCTTTGGTGCGGGAACGTCACGCCCTCCGTAGCAAAACCATCGAACCCCAAGAAACCCAGAGCACCCTGGAGGCAAGCAGGGTGCTTCTTGGCACGGGTCTCCTCTGTACCTCCCCCAAAAGCATCATCCCCTGGGCCCGGCCGCCACAGCAACTCAGATGCACGGCAAACGCAAGCGTTAGGTCGGGCATGTTTCTCTTCAGGCGGACTTTAGACCAACAATCTGTAATACCCCAAAGTTGTTCAAACAAATATCCAACAATACCGAAACGTCGCCCCCGCATGGTTTGCTTGACCATGTTTGAACATTCCTCCTGTAGAAAGGCAGGACCCGACGTCGCGCGCGCGGCACAGAGCCCGCGACGAGGGAATCCGCAGGGAGGGCTCCGAGGAAGGACAGCGCAGAGCGCGAGCGGGGCGCACGACGAGCGAGGACGCGAGGAGAGGCGGAGCCGACGAGGACGCCCGAAGACCTCGAGCCTCGCGCCCCCCCCCTGCGCCTGCCCCCTCCCCCGAGCGCGGCCCCTGGGGCCCCACCCCTCGCACGCCGCATACTGGCGCATGCCAACGGGTCCCTCGGCAGGGAGCGCGTCGCAGGTATGAGCCGCACGCACACACACACACACACACACACACACACACACACACACACACACACACACGCACACACGCACACACGCACGCACACTCGCACACTCACGCACTCACTCACTCACTCACTCACTCACTCACTCACACACACTCACTCGCACGTCGCCGCAGACAGTGAGCCAGCCGCTGCTATGACGAACTCCGGCCATCGAGTCGCACCACGAACCACGAGCCTCGAATCTCGAGACCCCCTAGCCACTCCCCTTGGGGAAACCAAGAAGTACCGATACCGCTGCCCCCCGCACCTCTCTGGGGGTGCGTTCTGACCAGACTTCTGAGGCGAGTCCGGCGGTGGCGACGGGGGCATCCTGGAAGGCCCAGACGGGGGAAGAGCCGGGCAAAGGGTAGCGGTGTTGGTACCTGTTCCTCCTCCTGGCCTCTCTGACCCCTCCTCCTCCCCCCCCCCCCCAGACCCCCCCCCCCCCCCGAACGTGGCACCCGCTGCCACCGCTCCTCGCGCGCCGCCCGCCTGCTGGGGGCCCCCAAAAAACCGTGCGAGGACGGGCCGCGCGGCGACGTCCGCGCCCCTTAAGGGGACCTCGCCGCGCGCGGTCCGCCCACCGCACGGGTCCGTCGGGGATGGACAGACCTCCCGTTATCGGGGAGACGTAAGACCCGGGTACGGGGGACTCGGAAATCCCCGACGAGGTCGTCAAAAAAATGACGAGGCCGAGCCTGCATTTTGACGGGGCCTCCCGCTGCAGACATCCCACGAAACTCCTCCTCGTCAAGATCCGAGGCGCGGTCGTCAAAAAACGATGGCGAACCCGAGTCCTGGCAAACCCGGGTCTTACGCTCCCCCGACGTTAGTAAAACGTGGTTTAGTGAAAACGACCTGAGGCCAAAACCCGGCGGACGCAAGCCTGGAAGACAACGGCCGCGGCGCCCTCTCGAGAACCGAAGACGGCCAATGCACTCATCGACGCGTCACTGTTGGGGGTTCTGTCCACCCCCGAGCCTGGGCCCCTGGATGCGGGCAGGACCTCTATCCGTGTCCGGTGCGCCTTGGGCTTTCTTGGAGGGGGCGCCGCGAGGCCGAGGCGCACTGGAGATGGACAGCTGTCGAGCCTGAACTGGTTGCAGGGGGCAGGTTTTTGTCCATATCCAGGGCGCCTCGGGTTCCTGGGGACGGAAGCCCCACAAGTCTCTCCCGCACTGGAGGCCCCAGTCCCCCGAGACAACCTTGGAGAACGGCCCGAGTCCCCCAAAACCGTGCGGCGACCCCGAATTCCGGCCTCCTCCGAGCGTTCGGCTTCCGGGCGATGGCTCGGGTCTCTGGCTGCCGCTCGGGACGATCCGAGCACCCCCGGCCACGCCCTCGGCGGGGCGCAGCTGCTGGAGCTCACGCCGAGGCAGGAGAACAAACGAGAGCCGACGCACTCACCCGAAGGCCTTGAGCGTCGAACCTCGGTCGCAACGTCTGTCCCCCCCACCCCCTGGGCGCCGCACGCCTGCTCCGCGGGCCGCTGGGCGGCCACCACGGGCGTGGCCGCGGGCGGCTGCACTGCAGGAGCGGGGGGGGGGTGGAACGGCCAGGGCTTCCCTGTCTCGGCGCGCCTGTTGCGATGGAGGAGGAAAAGGAAGGAAATCAGGAGGAGAAGGAGGATCAGGCAGAGGAGGAGAAGGAGGAGGAGGAGGAGGAAGAGGAACCCATCCTTTAAAGCCGCGATGACGCCCGTGACAGGCCCTGACCCCTCCCCCCTGGTCACTCGTCACATCACGGGTCGCGCTGTCCCTGTCTCGGCGTGACTGGCTATGGAGGAGTAGGAGCCATGGACCATGTAGAACAGAGAAGCGAAGCCCGCACGAGAGTACTGTCTCAGAAAGAGTTCTGCCTCATCGCAAAACGGGCTGCCCTCCGCCCCCACACGGGGGAGACCACCCTCCTCGCGTGCAGGGGAGGCCGGAGGAGGAGGAGGAGGAAGAGGAGAAGGAGGAGGAAGGCACCGCCAACTCCCGCGTTCCCTGCAAAGGTGATCTTGCTTATCTGGCTGTGTCGCGCGCTCTCTGAAGTCGTTTGCAGAGAAGAGCGCAAAAGCTGTAATGCGGAGGAGGAGGAGGAGAAAGCGGAGAAAGGCGAAGACTCCGTCCTGCTCCCGCCTCCTCTCATTTTTCCGAGCCGTTTGGCTGCGAGGGGCAGGGCGAGACATCCCCGAAACGGGCGTGCCCGCGGCCACGGTATGCGCCCCTGCGGGCTATCCAGTGTCGCTCGAGCTCGGACGCGCTCCTCAAGCGATGCAACTGAGCGGTGTAGGCGAGTGCCGTCCGAGCTTGTACCTCATCTGCCAGCGGCCCGTTCAGCCGAGCGCACTGGAAGAGCACATCACCATGACCACCACCAACACCATTACCATCTCCATCACCATCACCATCATCATCAGCATCATCAACAACACCACACTCCATCACAACGACAACAGCATCGTCAACCACATCATCATCATCATCATCATCATCATCATCATCATCATCATCATCATCATCATCATCATCAGCATCATCATCATCGTCATCATCATCATCAGCATCAGCATCAGCATCAGCATCAGCATCAGCATCATCATCATCATCATCATCAGCAGCAGCACCATCAGCATCAGCACCATCATCATCACAGTCATCAGAAGCATCATCGGCAGATCATCACAATCATCTCGAGGAGGGCCAGTTCCCACTCTCTCTCTCTCGGCAGCGAGCCTGGAGGGAAATGAGAAGGGACAGACCTTCTCAGAAGGCTCCGAAGGCCTCCGGCCTTCTGAGAAATGTCCTGGACCTTCCGCGAAGACACAGAAAACTTCTCAGAAGCCATCCTGCCTTCTGAGAAGCCCCGCCGCCTTCTCAGAAGGCCTCCTCCTTCACGTCCCCCCTCGCTCGTCGCCGACCCTCTGGAGGAAGAACACAAACGGCGTGAACATCACATTTCGGAACTCCAAGCGGGTCTCCTGGATCCGCGCTGGGACCCCAGTGACGGCGCCTCCCGTGACGGCGCCTCTGGCGCCGTCCCTGCCGCGCTCCGCGCGCCAGAGAAGGGGGCCCGGCGCCGACCCAGACATCGGCGGGGAGCTCCAACTGCTTATGCTTGCTGCGCCAATGTTCCCCCTTCCACTGTCAGCGTCTACGGCGCTGGGCGATGTGCCGAGCGCGTGGGACGCGGAAGGGCACACTATTGCCATGTCCTGCTCGGAGGCGTGCGCCCGACCCGAAGATTATCATACGAGCATCTCGTGGTGCATCGTTCCCCGAGCGGCGTGGCCAGAAGGCGCCCGACACGGAGGTCTTGTGCTGCGAGAGTTCCCGGCGTCGCCCCAGGGGGGACGACGCACAATTACCAGCCTGGAACATGTCCCTACCCCTATGCTGGGCACCTCCTCATCACGATGCCGATCTTAGGGATTCCCGATGGCGAATCCCTCAGATTGTCATCGCCTGTTGGCGTGTCGATCTTGGGGATAGGGGTATCTTCGAGGCTGGAAATTAGCGCCAAAATGTGCTTGCCCACCGAAGCCCTTCCATACAACGCAGGCGGCATGACGAGGGCCGACGCAGGCCGAGCGGCAGGCGGGGTCCCTGGGGGGGGGGCTCTGTCTCTGGCTGCTATGCTGCCTGTTCCCCCAGGGGCCTCGATAGCGGGGAACAAGCCTCCAAAGCATTTGGAGCCAAACGCCGTTGGAACCAGCCAGAAGGGCTGAGTACCATGTCTGGCATATCAAGAGCCCTGTCGACACACTTGAAGACCTCTCAGGTGCAATCAATGTTTAAGGATCGGCCTACCACACGCTTAGACCTTTATTCAATGGGACCATGTTCCACTGGCAAAGTATTCAAAACCCTTAGAACACAACTGGCAAGCAACAACTCACGCCCCTTTCGTGCGTTGTTGCATCCCGACGGCCCACTCGACCCAACCTTTCGTCGGCGAGGAGCACGGAGCACGAAGGTGGATGGAAGCACAGGGCGGAGGGAATGCCGCACGCCTACGGGAGCAGACGACCGCGTCCACATTCACATCTCGGAGGTCCGCTCTCGTGCACGAGCGGTGGACCCGCCCCCCCCCCGACGCGCAGAACGCGTCGGGACGGCGCCTGGGGGCGCCGCCACGGAGGTCGAGCACCGGTCTGAGAAGTCCGTTCGCGGGCTTCCGAGGCACGACCCGCGGGTCGGAAGAGGTGGGCAGCAACAGGAGGCAGGGCGGCTTTGGAAACGGACCGTGCGTCGACCCGCTCCCCGAGGAGAGGGGGAGGGGGGAGGACCCCCTCGACGCCTGAGGTAGAGGGGCGCCGAAAGGAGAGTGGCATCAGCCAATCCACAAACACGTGCTTCACCGACCGATGGGCGTGGCTATCCGCAGAGAGTCTTAGATCCCCAAACTAATGAGGAACAAACTACTTTCTCCGCGGGCTTGTTGACCGAGTGGAACCCCAGATAATACTGGGAACAAGAATATTCCCCGGCGGCAGTGATGAGGGGAAGGACGAGGACGGGAAGAACGAGTTGAATTACTAGCCGAGAGCTTGGGGGGGAACCCCGGCAACACTAAATACCCTCAGATGTTACATGCCGTGTTTTGTTCCTCGAATGCCAGCGCAGTGCGCGCCGTACTGCGCGCCAGCCGTGCAAAGGCGCGGGCGCCCAACAGACAGGCCCTCTTAGGGGGACACCGCGTGCGCGTTGCCAGCCGATGCTTCGGGAGGCCCTCCGTGCACCCGCGTGTCCGGTCTCCCTTTCGGCATGGAGAAAAACGGGTCCTGGACCCCAAAGCCCTCCCCCAGGACGATCTCTTCATCCTGATCCGTTTTCTAGCAGTCCTGGGGCCCATGGAGGGCCCCGAGGGCCCGAACACGGGTGAAAAGCTTCAGAACCAGTTTCCCTCGGGATCCGCTTCCCCACCTGGCGCCCCTTGTCCTGGTCCTCATCTCGCTCCTGCTGCTCCTGGTCCTCTCTCCTCAAGAACGGGGGATTGCGAAGTCCCTCGCCTTTCGAATGTTTGTCGTATAATTGTTCGCGAAATGTTCGAACATTATTCCGCTTCTTCCTTTTCCTCCTTCTACTCATCCTCTTCCTCTTTCTTCCTCTTCTCCTACTTCTCCTCTTCCTCCTTCTATCTCCTCTTCCTCCTCCTCCTCCTAACCCCAGAATCTAGCTCTTTGCATCTCCTGCACCCCCCAAAACAAAGAGATAATAAAAACCACGGCGCGACCTCCTGTCTTTTGTTGTCAATGTTTATTATGTGTGTGTTTGTGTGTGTGTTTTTGGTGGGCTCCTCCTCCTTCTCCTTCGCGCTGCTCCGCTCCCTCCTCCTCCTCCTCCTCGTGCTCCTCCTCCTCCTCGTCCTCCTCCTTGCCCCAGAATCTAGCTTGTTGCTTCTCCTGCCACCACTCCCCTAACAACAACAAAACAAAAGCGGCGCGGCCTCTTTTTTGTTGTTTTTCTTTGGGGGGGGCTCCTCCTCCTCCTCCGCGCTGCTCCGCTGCCTCCTTCCTCTCCCCCGCCCTCCTCCTCTTCCCTCCCCCAGAATATATCGTTTTGCTAGTGGGATGGTTCGAAAGAAAAAAACCCGTTTGGCATTGCATTGGCATTGGCTTGGCCATGGTTTGGCATCGCATTGGCATTGCATTGGCATGGCGCTTGGCAGTGTGTTGGCCTTGCGCTTGCATATCGCAAGCATTGCGCTGGCGGGTCCGAATGTAACCCTCCACAAAAGGACTCATATTGAAATCTTCTACCAGAAGGGCTCCTATTGAAACCCTCCACAAAAAAGGGTTCATTCTTATTGAAACCCTACACAGAAAGATTACACGCTAAGCCCTCCACCGATGGATTCCTACTGGAATATATCACAAATACGTTCCCCCCATTGGCATTGCATTGACACTGGGTTGGGATCGCCTTGGCATTAGGTTGGCATTGCGTTGGCACTGCTTTGGCATTGCGCGGGTAATGCGCTGGCAAGTTCCGATGGCCCCCTTCGCATACTGATTCCTGTTGAACCCCACACACAAGGAGTCCGATTGAAGCAGTCCATAATAAGGGTTCATAGTGAAAACATTCGAAGCCCTCCGTAGGAATCCTGTCGAAACCGACAACAAGCGATTTCCCCAGGCATTTCATTGGGATTGGATTGGGGTTGCCATGGCATCGGTGATTTGGCATTGCGTTGGCACTGCTTTGGCGTTGCGCTGACGAGTTCGGATGGCTCCCACCATAAAAGGATTCCGATTGAAACCTTCCACACGAAGGGTTCTGTTTAAAAGCCCCCAGAAGGTTCATGGTCAAACCCTCCACGGAAGGATTCCTGCCGAAACCCTCCACAAGAAGATTCCTGTCGGCATCCTCCGAAGAAGGATCCGAAACCAAATCACCCACACAACAATTTCTTTTGGAATCTGTTGAAAAGATGCAATCATGCCATCGGTATTGCATTGACATTGGTTTGGTAACGGTTTGGCATCGCATTGGAATTGCGTTGGCATTGCGATGGCAGTGCGTCGGCAGTGCGATAGCATCGCGCTGGCGAGTCCCAACTAAACGCTCCTCATGAGGATTCCGATTGGATACGCCCACACGAATGATGCCTAAGGACCCCCCCAGAAGAGGGATTCACATTGCAATCCTCCACAGCAGGGTTCCATGCGAATCCCTCCACAGAGGGACGCCGATTGAAATCCGCAGAAGAAGGGTCATTAGAAGGATTCCTGTGTGGATGACATCATCCACAGAAAGGTTTAGAAGGATTGCTGCTGAACGCTACCACAAGCAATCCACGCCATTGGCGACGCAGTGGCATTCAGTTTAGATCGCTCTGGCGTTGGTTTGGCATTCCGTTGGCACTGCGTTGGCATTGCGCTGGCGAGTCCTAATGCCCCCTTCGCACAACAATTCCTATTGAAACCCTCCACCAGCAATATTCCTCTTGGAATACACAACAAAGGGTTCCCCCCATTGGCATTGCATTGGCATTGGATTGGGACCGCCTTGGCATTGGCTTGGCATTGCGATGGCACTGCTTCGGCATTGCGCTGGCGAGTTCTAATGGCTCCCTCCGCAGAAGGACTCCTACTGAACCGCTCACTAGAAGGATTCCCAGCGAAACCTTCCACAGGAGGATCCCTATCGAAACCCTCCACAGAGGCATTCCTGTTGAAATCCCCTGGAGAAGCATTCGTAATGACACCGTCCACAAAGGATACTGAGGGAAATCCACCGAGCAAAAGCAGACTCCCATTGGCATAGGATTGGGCACTGCTTTGGCATTGCGCTGGCATTGCGCTAGTGAGTCCTTGTGCCCCCCTTCGCACAACGATTCCTATTGAAACCATCCAGAAATATCATTAATGTTAACATCTACCACAAAGGCCCCCACCCCCATTGGCATTGCATTGGCATTGCGCGTGCGAGTCCTATGGCTCCTTCAGGAGAAGGCTGAACCCCCCACAAGAAGAATTCCCAGTGAAAACCTCCACAGGAGGATCCCTATCGAAAAAACCTCCACAGAGGCATTCCGATTGAAATCCTCCGAAAAAGGATTTGTAATGACACCGTCCACAAAGGATTATTATTAACATCCACCGAGCGAAAGGATTCCCCCATTCATATTGAATTGGCATTGGCATTGGTTGGCAATGGATTGGTATCGCTTCGGCACCCGTTGGCCTGGTGCAGGAGATAGACAGAAGAGAGACAAAGAGAGAGAGAGAGAGAGAGAGCACGAGATAACGATATCACGAGAGAGGCCTTTTTATGAAGGGGATCACGGCGGACAGAACAATGGCTAAACAACACGAAAGTCTATAAAGATGAAGGAGCGTTATTAGCAATACAAAAACCTTCTCAAAACGACGAGGGAGTTCACACTCCGCTCCTATCGGGGGTTGCTAAGAGGTGCCCCTGGCTCAAGGTGCCCCCCGCTTCTCCGCTCAATCTTGGAGCTCCTGGGGCCCATGGACCTCGTGAGGGGTGCTCTGGAGGCCGCAGTGGCCTCCTTGAAAATCCTGGGGGCACCTTGGGCCAGAGGCACCTCCAGCAACACCCGATCCCACCCCCTCCTCCCGCGGGCGCTGGCTGCCCTCCAGCTCGTGCGCGGGAGGGGCGCCGCAGCCGCCGCCCGCCGATCGGGCAGAGAGGCGGCCGTCGCTGCGTGCTGCCCCGGGGGGCTCCCGAGGGAAACGTGCCCTTCACTCCTCGTTCCTTCTCCTCCTCCTCCTCCTCCTCCTCCTCCTCCTCCTCCTCGTCGTCCTCCTCATCCTCCTCCTCCTCCTCCTCCGCCACCTCCTCCTCCTCCTCCTCATCCTCCTCCTCCGCCTCCTCCTCCTCCTGCCCTGGGGGCTCTCGAGGGAAACGTGCCCTTCACTCCTTTGGGCGCCCGAGTTGTCCAGGGCAACTCGGGTCCGGGGTACCTCGGGTCTGGATTCCCGAAAAAAGGAACCCGAGTTGGCCCTGACCCGAGTGACCCCTGATGATGTGGGGCTCTGGGCGCCCGAGTTCTCCGGGGTAACTCGGGTCCGGGGTAACTCGGGTTCGGATTCCCGAAAAAGGAGCCCGAGTTAGCCCCGACCCGAGTGACCCCTGATGACGTGGGGCTCTGGACGCCCGAACTATCCGGGGTAACTCGGGCCCGGGGTAACTCGGGTCTGGATTCCCGGAAAAGGAACCCGAGTTAGCCCTGACCCGGGTTACCCCTGATGATGTGGCGGCTCTGGGCGCCCGAGTTATCTGGGGTAGCTCGGGTCCGGGGTAAGTCGGGTTCGGATTCCCGAAAAACGAACCCGAGTTAGCCCTGACCCGAGTTACCCCTGATGATTCGGGGCTCTGACTCCTCGTTCCTGCCCTCCTCCACTTGCGCAGGCACCGACCGTCCCGGCATTCCGCATTCCTACAGGCCTACCACCAAACTTTCTGCGACGAGCCCAAACATGTTCGAAACAACAAAAAAACATGTCCTCAGAACTTGAAGCGGACGTGTTATAACAAAACAGCTCCAGCCAGAAATGTTCTGAGAACACGTCGTGCGAACCTCAAAGAAGGACTCTTAGAACTTTTCCTCGTGCGCCCACAGGCGAGCCAGGAAGCCTCGCCACTGCTTGATCCACGGCTCCCACACAGTGGAGGCGCGAGGGGGGGGGGCGGCCTGCCACCTGGGCGGTGGGGCTGTCCAAAGGCTCCGCGGGGGGGGGGGGGCTTCCCCAGAGGCCTCCGCGGTGTCTGCGGGGCCCCCATCGGGAGCCCATGGGGGCCTTCTGGAGAGGCCCCTGCCGCCCAAGAGGGGCCCCACCTGCCTTCTCAGATGGCCGTCCTCCACGCGTCTTGCCCCCCCCCCCCCCCCCCCCCCCCCCTGCGGGCGCCGGCAAGCCCCCCCCCCTCGTCTTCCCCCTCCTCCTCCTCACCCTCACCATCCTCCTGCTCCTCCTCCTCCTCCTCTTCCTCCTCCTTCTCATCCTCCTCATTCTCCTCCTCCTCCTCCTCCGCCTCCTCCCCCTCCTCCTCTTCCTCCCCACCTCCTCCTCCTCCTCATCATCCGCCTCCTCCTCCTCCTCCTCCTCCGCCCAATCCACCTCCTCCTCGTCCTCTTCCTCGTCCTCCTCCTCCTCCTCCTCGTCATCCTCCACCCAATCCACCCTCTCCTCCGCCTCTCCTTCCTCCTCCTCCTTCCTCCTCCTCCTTCCTCCTCCTCCTCCTCCTCCTCCTCCTCTCCGAAACTCTACACGAGGGATGGCTGTTGTTCCCAACCCTCCCTTGGTTGGGCTCTCGTTTTGAAGAGACCAATGTGGGCCCCACCTCCTCCGTGCTTCCTCCCGCGCTCCTCCCTCCTCCTCGCCTCTTTCCTCCCCTCAGCCTCCTCTCTGTCCTGTTTAATCGTCCTCTCCCCCGTCGAACCCTCGCGGGCCCTGCGGGGGCTGCGAACTGCGCAGCTGTCGCAATTTTCGTGGTCTCCTGGGAGGTCCAACGGAGTGAAGTCCACGCAGATCTGCCGAGACCTCGCGGCCCCCTGTGCGGTTGCGCACCGCGCAACTGTCGCAACGTTCGTGGGCTCCTGGGAGGTCCAGCGGAGAGAAAGCCCACGCAAACATGCCGTGACCTCGCGGCTCCCTGCGGGGTTCCGAAGCGCGCAATATTCACCGTTTTGGTACGCTCCTGGGAGGTCCAATGGAGTGAAGGTCCACGCAAATCTGCCGAGACCTTGCGACTCCCTGCGGGGTTCCGAACCGCGCAACTGTCGCAGCGTTCGTGGGTTCCTGAGAGGTCCTGCGGAGTGAAGGTCCACGCAGATCTGCCGAGACCTCGGGGCTCCCTGCGGGGCTGCGAACCCAGCAACTGTTTCAGCGTTCGTGGGATCCTGGGAGGCCCAACGGAGTGGAGGTGCACGCAGACCTGCCGAGACCTCACGGCCTACTGGGAGGCCGCGAAGTGGGCGTCTTTCATCAAGGTCGTTTGTCTTGAGCGGTCCTTCACATAGCTGCCCCATGTTAGAAGCGTGCGTCGCCGTGTACTTCATCCTGTGCTTCAGCTCGGTCTCCAGTCGAACGTTATGTCCCCCTACCCCCATCGCCTCCCGCACGATGGAGGGAGAATTGCTGTTATCTCCATGGCTGTGTGTTGTTTCGGAATGGATTGTGAAATTCATGTTTTGTTTTTGTGCGGTGATTGCCCCCTCGAGGGGAAGCGGATCTGCCGTCATCACGTCCTGTTGGGCTGTTTTCGATTCAGGGTGGCGTGGCCCCCGGACTCCCCGGCACGATGTGCGAGATGGACAGCAAGCGGGCGTGTGCGTTGTCTCAACAAAAAAAAGAATGGATTGTGAAGTTCATGCTCCCCTCTCCCCTCGGCTTCCGCACGAGGGAGGGGGGGGAGGGGAGGGCGGGAGCGGCAGCAGGAGGGTGCCCTGGACGGGGGGCGGACACGGAGAGGGTGGGGGGCAAGAGGGCAGCGTTGCCGCGCAGGCCGAGCGAGGGGTGCCCCCCGGTACTCGTCGGCGCGTCATCGGCGTGTCACGGTGACTCCGCGGGGAGTGGCCCCCAGAAGAGGATGCCGCCGAGGACTATGGGAAGAAGGATGGCAAGGGGAGAGAGGAGGGGAGGGGAGAATCCAGCCCGAGCCGCAAACAACATGTGGGCTTCCCCCTGTGCATGATTAGTGCCAGGCGAACGCTGGGATACCATTCTCAAAGCGCCAGCGAAGTGGACGCTAGGGCAAACCAACCTTGTGAGGCTCAGACATCAACCTGCCGCCCAGAGCTTGGACACTGAGTTCGGTTGCGCTACCATCGGCCCGCGGCGACGCGCAACATGAGGATAAAAGAGGCAGGGCGAGTGAGGTTGCCTTCTTGGAAGGCAGGGCGCTCCTCAGCTCCTCAGAAGGAGTTTGCCCCGTCGTGGAACGTTTTGGGGGCGCTGCTGAGAAGGCATGAGGGCGGCTTCGCTGGACCCCACCCCTGGCGCGCGGAGCGCGCCAGGGGCGGCTCCGCGGGCGGCACAGGGGGGCACCGCGAGGCGACTTCGGGCACTGATCCGAGAAGTCCGCGCGGAGCTCCAGCAGTTCAAGTGTTTGTAGTTGTTCCTTATTCGATTATTTAGGTGGCAAACAAACCTACCTCGCTTTTGACCAACCTCGCTTCCGAGAGATACCAGGCGATGCCAAGCTACGGCCTGTACTGGTCAGGCCACTTGACGAGGAGGCGCGGGGTATGACTTGGTTTTGCCTGGAAGGCCTCTCCCTCGCCACGCATCACTTCTGCGCGCCCCCACGCCGAGCTGGTCTTGTAGAGTTCCGGCGGCCTGGGGCTGGACGCCTGGTCGCGGAACAGGCTTCGGACACGCAGCACGTGCCCGCGGAACCGACTCCTGCTATCTCCCGACCCCCCCCCCCCCCGAGAATGCTACGGCCACCTTCCTCAGTGTGCATCCTCCTTCTCCCACGCACTCCTCCTCCTTCCTCCTCCTCATTCTCCCTCACATTGAATTTTCCTTCTGCCACGAACTCCTTCTCCTCCTCCTCCTCTCCCTCCGCCTCCTCCTCCCCCTCCCACCTTCTCCTCCTTCTCCTCCTTCTCCTCCTCATCATGTTTCTCGTCTGTCTCCTCCTCCTCCTCCTCCTCCTCCTCCTCGTCTTCCTCCTCCTCCTCCTCCTCCTCCTCCTCCTCCTCCTCCTCCTCCCTCACATTGCATCTTCCTTCTGCCACGAACTCCTTTTCCTCCTCCTCGTCCTCCTCCTCTTCCTCCTCCTCTCCTCTTCGAACATCCGAGGTATGGCATCCCACGAGGAAGCCTCTACAAGGGGGGCACTGCTAGATCCAGGAGACTATCTGCACACCCTCTAGCACAACTGTCCTGACCCCCCGACTCCCTGTTCCCTCCTTCCTGTCCCCCCCTCTCCTCCTCACCGTCATCCATCGGATTGTCCTTCTCATCCTCCCTCCTGCAGTCCTGGAGGGAGAGTGGGAGGGGAGGGAAGTGAGGGGGGAAAGGCCAGCGGAGGAAAGGCGGAGCTCCTGACACACGATCCCACTCCTTCATCCCCCATTCCCTCACCTCCCCATTCCGCCATCCCCCATCCCCCTACACCATGCGAGATGCTGAAGAAATCATGGGTTAAGAAATTCATAGTCTCAGAATTTGAATAAAAACCCAACGCTTCCATCAAAATCTTGGGATTTACATTGAAAACTTAAGAATAATCGAGACTCTGGCCGAAAACTTGGGTTTTCTTAAGCATCGCCTACGGTCTACCTCCCTTCCCCCCCCCCCCTCTGGTTCCCGCATCCCTTCCCTTCCCGACCGCTCGGGAAGGGAAGGCGACCGGGGCGTGGGCGTAGGGCGAGGCCGCGACTTGGCGGGGTGGCGCGTCGGCAGAGCGACGGGGGTCTCCCGGGCATGGCTCCGAAGCCCGCGAGTGGGAATGCCGGCAAGGTCTGGGTAGTCGAAGCCAATCTGGCGCCAATCTGGCAGGCCCAGTGTGGCAAACGGGGGGCAATCTGGCGAGGGAGCCCACGCGAATCCAGTCCGGCGAATCACCCAAGTCATCCAGTCTGGCCAGGCCGGATTGGCCCTTGGGGCCCAATCCAATCTGACAGTCTGGCCTTCGACTACCCAGAAGGTGGCAAAATCGCAATGGCGCCGTGGTCCGTTGGCCGCCCCAAGGAAGACTGTGGGGACGGGCCCAAGGTCAACCAGAGGCCCAACCTATCGACAGGAAAGAGACACGAGACAGACCAGAAAGGCGGACAGCCACATGGGGCCCCCCGAACTTTGAGGGCGGGCAACCAACCACGGGGATTATGAACGACGAGCGCCCCTCACGCCGAGCTCACTCTGGATTGAGGTCTGGGATGCCCTGTCGGCCTTCTGAGGTGTACCACGCGATGTACCTTGCAGGGAGGGGCGCGTCGCCCTAGTCCCGTCCTCCGCGGCCACCACCAGACTCCTAAACTCCGTCGCCCGCGTCCTGCCTTTGGCACCGCCGTGATAACCTACGGAGGCCCCTCGAGATACCCGGAAACCCCAGGGGAGCAAAAAACGTCCAGATTCAGCAGGAAGAGCTCCGATGGTTGCCCCTTCATCGCAAATCGACCGGACCGCCCGCTCGGACTGAGAGAACCCGTCGACTCGACACCGACCCGTGGAGGGGGGCCATCCCTCTGGGGGGCGCGTCGTCGAATTGATGCCACACGTTGACACCAGCACGCTTCATCAAGCTGTGGGCATCCTGGAAGCCCTGTTTCGAAGATCGCGGATCGGAGAGAATGGTCGCGGCACCGCGGTGCTTCACTTCGTCCTCCTCCTTCCTCCCCCAGGTTGTCTCCCCCTCCTCCCGCCACCGCCTTCCTCCCCCTGGTCATCCTTGCCGCCCCCGCCATCATTCCACCTGCAAGTTTAGAAAAGGATGTTGACGAACATAAAGCACATTTTTGTGTTTCAGATAAAGGCGATCATTACTGAAAGTGCACACACCGCCGAACGGCGGATATAGTTCTTGAACCCAAACGGCAGCAACTACACAACAACATGGGGTCCGGATTTTGACAACATGCCCTCGGCATGGCACTTCACGTCGGGTGAAGACACGCGCCATTTTACACACTTGTTGGATCGATGCGAGTGGTTCAACAACTGGTTCGCGCGCACATAGCACGAAGTGCAGCACGCGATTGACAAACACTAGATTAAACCTCGCGCGCGGCGTAAGTGACACCCAAGCCCCAAAAAGGTGACGAGAAGTACGGAAGGATATCCCCTCGATTTTGGTCTGCCACACCTTCTCTGTAAACATTCGCTCCGAAGGAGCTTGGTTAAAATGCAACACGCATTACAGGGAGGATGGGTGGGAACATATTCGACGGCGAACTGTCGGTCATGGCCCCATGGCCCTGATGGAGGTCGACCTCGGCTTTTTGTCCCTTCGATCGCCGTTGCCGCGTCGATGCGCGTGAACTCCCCTTTACGGATACGCTTCCGACCGGAAGTGCGATTCCACGCGCCAGGCCCCACGAAGCGGCCATCGATCCAGGCAGTACACTCCTCATCGCAGTCGCACCACGCACCGAAGGCGTTGCCACTGTTATTCCAAGGTTTCTTGCAGGCGGGCTGGTCGCTAATCCCGCTAAGCTTGCCCAGTGCTTCCAAGTAGGTGAAGCCGGTATGCCACGCGAGGAGCACAGTCCACATCGAGCTGCGACCTTGGAGTTCCGCACGCTGTCCCCAAGCGAGGGCTGACCGCCCAAGACTGCTTAGCGGCCCATGGGCGATCATCATCTGAAGGGATCTGAGCCTGCCACAGGACTTTTCCTTCGAGGCGAATGCTGCGCCAAGTGAATGCCAGCCACGCCAGGCCATCGACGTTCAGATTATACATCTGCCTGAATGAATTGCCCCTGCGCGTGGTTACGGGAACCCTTGCGCGGCGCTGAGCGAGCTCATGTGCATTCACCAGCTCGGCATCCCATTCGCGCGGCCCCCCGGCGACGGCGTCGGAGTTAGTGTAGACCAGATCCAGATTATCGTGAACGTCGACGAACTCCTTCGCCAAATCACGCAGGAGGAATCGAGGCGCCACCGTTCTGTCTTGGATAGCAACTGAGAAACATTTCGGAGCAAGCATGGGGGCGCCTCCCGGCCAAAAGATGCCGAACCGAGTCGTGGCCATGTCAATGCGCTTTCGCTCCTGGGGTCCTGGAGTTCGGGCACGCTGTTGATGTAGCCTTGGGATGTGCCACCGCTGTTCCAATCGCGCGCCGGACAGGGGATCAGGTTAGGCGCTCGGGGGCCAGGGTAACCGTCCTTGTCGCAGGGGAAGCAGGCTTGAATGGCCACTGCAAGCCACGCCAAATTGCCCCGCTCGTTCCTGCGGCGGCCCGCCAACGCGTTGCGCCGCCCCCGTAGGCATTCGAGGTGAAACTGGGGCCGCGCGCTTTAAACGCTGCCGTATAGTTGCTCGAATGAGTCTTGGTAACTGGCGCAATTTTCACTAAGAACGAGGCTGCCCAATGGGCCCTCCACGACGCGTGCTTTTCGCGATTGGCCCAGCCCCTGAAGCAATCGCCACGCAACCTCCTGGTCGCCCAAATTAGATTATGAGCCTGTCTCGGCTGACACAGGTAATTCGGATGGCGGTTAGAGGGATTGGCGGCACGGTTGGACCCAGTCAGTCCTCATCTCGACGAGGGGTCCATGAGGCTTCGTCGAGAGGTCAGGCTCAACTACCTCGCGAGCGAGCAGGCAAGCGATCCTCTCGGCCCACTGGACTCGGTTGGCGGCTCAGTGAAATTGGCCCGAGGGGCGCTCCTGAAGGCGGCCAATCCGACTCCGGCACAATAATGGGTTCTTCTCGGTTGCTCCTTCGCCTTTACCTCCGCCGCTTGTTGCGTCGCCCTCGCGCTCTGGCGCTATGTCTGGCACTTCCGTCGGCGAGCTCGGCCCCTTCGCCTCCGTTGCGCGAGATTGGCCGCGGGCGTTTTTGTCGGCGAGGCCCTCGGCCCTTCTCGGCGCATCCGCTCCAGGAGGGCCATCCAGCAGTGCTCGACGAATTCGAGGCGCCCGGCGGGTGGGGCGCCGCTGACATGGAAGGCGCGGCGCCAATTCGAGCCTTCGCTTCATCTCCCGCCGCCGCCCATCCCAGGCCGGCAACAGCGCCACGAATGGCCCCGGAGATCTCCAAGTTCTTTCTTCCGGGACCTGGTCGACTGGAGCACGCGAACCCCGCCCATGGCATAGCCTCGCGCTCACGTCGTTGCGCTGTTTGACGCGATGGTCACGGATGCTGGCGTGCTCGAGCCACGTGGCAGACCTATCAGAATTGCGCGTGACCTCGCCTCTGAGGATCACGTCGCGTACACTGGCGTCCACGGCGGTGGACTTCTTGGGTTTGTGATTGTGCTCGGGCAGCGTCTGCTCGCGGTCCACATCGCGCGCCAGGCCCTCCGGGTCGAATTGGGCCCCCCCGTGGAGATTACCAACCGCAGACCTGGCTGCATAACAAACTTTGCGTATCACCTGGGGCGCGCAGACGTTCATCATGTCCTCAATTTCATCGATGCAATGGTTTTGCGCGATGGCGCGGCGCGCCTGGCTTGAGACGCGCAACGTATCCCATTGCACAAACGAAGCCCGTAAAATCTTCCTTGGTGAGGGGTCCTGGATGGGGTGCGTCGATCTCCTCGCCTTTGACGGTTAGCTGCGTGATCGGCCTGAGCTCGTCAGCCACCATGCCTGCATGCCGCGGCGAGATGCCTGAGTAACAAGTGAGCGAAAGGGTACCAAAGGTGAGATGGTAATGAGGTCCGTAACGGTGGCTTGTCTTGCGATAGCTGCAGCCCATTCAACATTCGCTTGCGAGAGCCAAGTGCTGCACCCCTTCCTCGCGGACTTGGCCTGTCCCCCACCCTCGCGTGCATACTCATCCGCTCACTACTCACATACTTTGGCACAGCAGCTGCTACGTTGTTATCAGCGCATACCAGCGGCCGTGACGCAAACACTCCTCACTTCACCCTGCGACCACACTTGACTTCCCGCGATGTGCCTCGCTTTGCCTGGTCAGCTCATGCTGGCAAGAGCTACCTCTCCGCCGGTGGCACCTCTCCGCTGGCGGCTCCTCTCCTTCTCCTACGTCCAGCAATAGATGCCAGTGCACGCCTTGAGCGCTTGCGGCATGTCTTGATTTCTACCCATGCAGTTTCGTCCGGGTCTGGTCTTTCAAACAGTTCCGAGCAATGCTAATGTCGCATGCGCTCGGTCTGCGAATAAGGCCATGCCCCAAAAAAATATGTTACGACGCGCTGAGTACCCGAGCTGTCTTGCGCTAAGTGATCTGCGAGTGACACAGAAGGCTTATTCTCGGTCTGGTCAGCCGCTCGTGTGGCGTCTTCGTCAGCCTCGCCCCCCGGTAACTTCTCTCCTTGCACCTCGAGCCTCGCTGGGCGCTCTTCCAGCTCCACCTCTTTTACTACGATTTCAGCATGCCTCTGACATGCCTCGCGCCTCACATTGTACACGACGCAATCATAATCAGAGAGATCTGGGTCGCCTTGTCATCCTCCTACGCAGGACCTACCCCCCCACTCACCGGCCTCCAAACACACCTGCGTTCTCTCTCCGGACCAGCTCAAATCTGGTTCGTTGCCGCATTGCCAACCATGGCGAAGTGATTATCGTGCAGGGTCAATCAAAAGCGCCCGACGTCGTGCGTAAACGCGCGTGGCGATGCTTGCCCTGGCGAAGACCCTGTGCTTGAAAGCAATTCTAGTAGCCGCCTAAATTCATGCTGCGCCACGCGCGCCGCGCGCCAGCTTGAGAAGCTGACCGCCGCCCTGTAACCTGCCAGCGGAAAACTAACGCAGGCGCGTGCCCCATCGTGCGAAGGATACAACGAGGCCCTCTTTTTGCGGACGGATGTAAGCTGAAATCTGTTATCTTCTGAGCGCCTTGCGCGTCCAATTCTTGCGGCCATTGCCACGGGCAGTAATGGCCGTTGTGATTCCAGCGGCGGCGCGGCCGCAAATGTCTCTTTCCGTTTTCCGAATTGAGCGCTACTTGGGGGCCCTCAGTCTCGACCTGCACTCTTGATCGCTTTTGTTCCCTTTGTTGACATCAATGCGCATGGTTCCTGCTCGTACCTGGCCTGATACTCATGGGCGCACACTGTTATCTTCCATCGCGCGCACCTGGAGTCGATAGGATTGATAATTCCTTCTTTCCGAGCCTTCGTCACTATCGATATTTCGAGGATGCGCGCTTCCCGCGCGCGTCGCCCAACGCGCTCGCAGACCCATCACCACGTTGGTGGATCATGTGGCTAAGCGGCATTGCACGCCTCGCACGTCATCGACTGTTCACCCAGCCAACATGTTCGCATTTCATGCACTTCCAACGG